GTGCCCTGGGCGCTGCCTCTCCCCGCCTAGGACATCCTCCTCCCCTCCCTCCCCTGGATGTGTCTCCCTGCCGAGGGGATCCCCTGGCTCTCCCTCCCGTGCCGCCGTGGCCGGCAGTGCTGTCCTGCCCAAGGGCACAGCGGGCTGGAGGGGCCTGGCCAGCCGTGTCGTGCCACGCAGGTCCTTGCCTGGAGCTGGAAAATTACCGTGCGAGAGCAGCCGAGCCCAGGGGAGCTCTGTGCTTCTGCGGTGTGCCAACAGGACCCTCCTGTGCTGGTGCTGCTGCATAGGGTCCTGAGCTCTGCGTCCTTTATGCCTTCAGGGAGAGGAGTTTTCCTGCTCAGAGAGGATGCGATGCCCCATCTGCACACCCACCCTCCACCCCCGCTGCCCCCAGGGGCTCTGAGGGCTCCTGGAGGTTTGTGGAGACAGCAGAATCCTGAGCCTCCTGCTCTGCTGGTACCCAGGGATGGGGCTGTGGCAGGAGGAGATGCTCCTCCCGCCCGTCCTGTGCTGCGGGCGAGGAGGGACTCAAGGACACCCAGCCCAGTGGAGAGCTCAGGCTGCCCTGTTCCAGTTCCTGCTGCTCACTGGGATTTCTCTGCCAGCTGCAAGGTGGTGATGGGAGAGGATCCTTGCTCCCTGGTGCTGCACCAGCACATGGGCACACACTTTCCCTTTGTGCTTTCCTGGGCTAGTGTCAGCATCAGGAGGAGCTCCCGATCCCCCCGTGGTCTCCTGTAAGCTGTGGCTGCTGGAGTAGTCAGTGTGGTCCTTAAGAGGAGGAAGAGTAGGTTGAAGCTGGAGTGTAGATGGAAACCCTCTGTCGTGGTGTGTCTGCTGTGGTGCCACAGAGAAGGTAATGAGGGGACAGCAGATGTGACAAATCACTGCGTCCCTCACAGTGTGGGTGAGGAGAGGCAGTGCCTTTGCCTCCTGCTGGGGTTGATGGTGAGTGTTGTATGAGCTGTAAGCAGCGTGTGCACAGGTTCCTCTGGACATGGGTTGGGGGTTGTGAGGTCCAGGGAATGCTTCAGGCCAGACTGTTCCTGTGGGTGCTGAGGCTTCAGCCCCTGGCAGCAACACAAGGGAATTCAGCATCATCTTAAATGTTGCTGAGCCAGAATGGTTGAGATCTCCTTTCTTCAGGGTAAAATTTGGATTCTGGCTTGGGTTGACATACCCAGAAAGATATTTTATTTTAAAATAGTACTTCATGCTTACAGAACAGAGTGTTTCATAGTCAATGCTGAAGCCTAGAGGAGCTAGAGAGCAAGAGGCATTCTGAAGAAAACATTCTCACACCAAATACATATGGAAACAACACCATCTTGGGGCTCCCAGCAGTGAGCATCCACAGCTGAGTGGAAGGGTGCTGCTCCTTTGGGGAGCAGCAAAGTGGTTTGACAAGGGGTGGGGTGAGGCTTGGTGGAAATGGGCACTGAGAGTTCATGCCAGAGCTCAAGGAGCATTTGGACAATGCTCTCAGGCACATGGTGGGATTGTTGGGTTGTCCTGTGCAGGGCCAGGAGTTGGACTGGATGATCCTTGTGGGTCCCTTCCAAATACTCTGTGACTGAAGATTCCCAGGTCTCAGACTGAGACACACTTGTCACAGATGGTGTGTCCAGGCTCTGTGTGTCCTCTCAGACCACTCTGAGGCCTTCCTGGGCTTTCTAGGGTGTCCATCTGAGCAGGTTGGACACATCCAGCTGCCCTGGGGCTCAGTGCCTTGCTTGGGTGCTGGCACCAGTCAGTAATGCCTTGGGAATTGGGTGCACTAAGATGCAGTTGTTGTAGAGTTAATGTTTCACATGTGTATATCCTCAAAAAGCTTCAGGCTCTTCCCAGATTTCTTTTGGTTGAGAGTAACCATTAAAACTCCCATAAGAAAGTAGTCCTTGAGAAGAAGAAGAGTAGGTTGGGGCTGGAAGGTTGATAGAAAACCCTCTGTGTCATGGTGTGTCTGCTGTGGTGCCACAGAGAAGGTAATGGGGGGACAGCAGATGTGACAAATCATTGTCACATCAGTCCCAGTTCCTGTGTGTGCACAAGGTGTATCTGCTTAGCTTTCTCAGCTGGAAGAGGCAGGAGTTGGACACCTGCTTTGGTCTTCCCCTGTGCTGTGGGAACTCTGCCACAGCCAGAGGAACTGCTGTGGTCCAGAGGTGGAACAAGCATTTCCATGCACAGGTATCCAAGCTCCTGCGGTGCCAAGAGTATCTGTCAGCTTGGATTTGTAGCTTTTCACAACATGTGCTGGCTGGGACCTGTCTGACTGTGTGCTCTGTTTGCCATGCAGGGTGAGGAAGGCCCTCCCAGTTTGGAATACATCCAGGCCAAGGACTTGTTCCCCCCGAAGGAGCTCGTAAAGGAGGAGGAATCACTGCAGGTAAGGAAGTAAGAACCCCCAAACAGCTTTGGGACGCAGCAGGATGGGCTCTCCAGCCCAGGTCATTCTGGTGCTGTAGGTCACACTCAGAATAGCAGGTCCTTCTGTGTCCATGGAAGCTGCTCCCACCCATTCCCAACACCCTGGCTCTGCCTTCTCAGCCCTGCCAGGATGTGTTTTCCCTGCCACTGGGAAATGCAGCTGGAGCATGATGCAATGCTCAGGGTATTCCCTGTCCTCTCCTGCACTGCCAGAGAGGAACGTGCTGCTGCCTGCATAGCTCTGCAGCAGGTAGATGCTCCCTGGGATAACAGGAATGTCAGGAACAGGCCGTGCTCCGTGCAGCCATCGCGTGTGACTGCTCGGGCTGCTCTGGTCCTGGTACACGTTGCTCTTGGCATTTTCCTGCTGCAGAGCTATTGGAAGGAGAACCTCCATATGGTGCCAGCCTCCTGCTGCAAAAAGACCTTGGAGGAGCCCCTGGGTGCTGTTGCTGCTGTGCAGCAGGGGAGGTATTCCCATGGCTTTCTGGGGTTTGGTGCTTCTTTTAACATAGTCCAGTGCTCATACTCCTCCTCCTGGGGCTGGAGCCAAGCTCACCTTGTTCTTGCTGCTGCTGCAGTGCTTGAGGTTGTTCTGAGATTGGCATTGACTTGGCAAATGGTGGTGGGAAGAGCAAGGCCTGATGTGGCAGCAGGAGAAACCACAGGCTGAGGAGTTGTGTGGGGTCAGGGCTGCAAGTCTATGGCCCTCAGGGGGCAAAATGCTGAGATGACTCCGAGCTGAGACTCCTGGAGAAGAGCAGGCTCTGTTTTAGGCTTCTGCATGGAGTACCATAAAATTCAGCCCTTCCAAGGGTGATTTCCTTTCAGTAAATTGTTGTTTTAATGCAAAGTGAAGTGTTAAAGGGGCTTGGAACAACCTGGACTAGTGGAATATGTTTCATGGCAGGAGGTGGAACAAGATGAGCTTTAAGATCCCTTCTAACCCGAACCATTCCATGCTGTTGTGATTCTATAAGGATGCATTGGCTTGATAACAAGCTGTATTCAGGCACCTGCCAGTTTATTCCAGGATTTCCCTCTGTCAGTTCTTGCAGCCTTACCAGCCCATTTCTGCTCTGTCTCCCTTCTGTTGCTGTGTGAAATAGCCACGTAAGCAGAAGAAACACTTGCCAGCTAAAAACAGCCCTGGCAAATGTGTGCAGGAATAAACTACAGACATAAAGAGGATATTTCATAGCAAATAATTCAGATTTTGAAAGAGT